AAGTTTATATAACTTACCATAGTGTGTTTTTTTTTTTTTATAGTGGAACATGCGCACGGCATGTGATCTTTATTGATACATTTAATATCCAGACAGACACCAAGGGTCTCTACAAATTAACCAGAAAATCAGTTGGTACATGAATACTCATTATGTCTCTACAGTTAATTTGCAGATTAATATTGTCTAGTACCTATATTGTTATAAGACTAGCTATGCTAACCACTATTATCCAACTATGTGAACATTTAAACATCAAGTAGATGTGCCCACACGTTAAGTAGGACTTTCTGCAGGGGGGGAATCCTACCACTAGTTTAAGACCACCTAACATACTAAATCCATATTGCAGAGAGCAATATAGTATGGAATGTTATTATAGAGATTAATCCCAGTCATTCCAGTTACCTGTTATCACCGATCCTCGAGATGTATCACTAGCATAACACAATACTACCATTGTCACTACTTGTGGAACTGGCATCCTTGCTTGGATTCCGATTTAATTTTGTAGATCCTCACTAGACTCACTTGGCTTAATGGTTTTTGTCTAGTCTTCTTACTACCTGTAGCTAATACCTTGCCCATCAGCCATATGATTAAGTTCTGTGGAACACCACTATTGGGATAGATTTACAAGCTTCAGATTGGAATAAATCAGCTTAAAATTAATCTCTTTATATTGTGTAATGGAGTCTACTGTTACCAGTTTGGGTTAGAGTTTGTGAACTTATTACTGGAGTTAGACCAGAAGCCTTTTCTCATGCAACCTTTTTTGCTTCTATCTGTTTTCAGCCTGCGATCGTCAGAAAGACCAAAGGTCCTATCCTTATTCAGCCTAACTAATATTGGAGATAGATTTGTCAGCTGATTGGATACGATATAAATTGGAAGCTGGTTAACCAATAATGAAGGTGATAAATTTTTGTAACCAGGTGGAGTTGAACCCTAGACCTTCTTCTGATGACCTATAGAGCATTACCACTATGTTATAGACTATACATGTTGCTGAAATTCATAGATCCTTGATGCAATTGACACAATTATTTGACGCAATTATTTTTGAAGATTTTGGGAATTGAGTCAACAGCAAAATAATTTACACCACATGTATACTATAGACCTATAGGTCTAACTTATCATAGTTTGTTTTAACCCCAATAGTCTATTTTCCCTTAATTGTTTTTAATAATAGTAGCAATGATATAAATAGCCATACAATTGTAAAGCGAACAGTAGGATAGAAGTAGTTAGAAAAAAAAGATATAGTTAAGATAGAGAAAAAAAACAATAGTGTGATTAATAAACACAGCGACTAGTAAAATTGAAATGTCAAATAAGAAATATTGTAATTAACAACTTATTTTTTCCAGTACACACTATACAAAGAAGAATAATCGCCACTATAGGGTATAGCCCAGGATTATCAAGAGAAGAGCTGGTATCAGAAAAGAAGAGAAAAGCTTGTTAATAATGAAAAGCCCTAGCTAAATCAATCTTACACACCTTGACTTACCTTAGTTACACAAACATTGGATCAGTGAAGTGACTGATTCATCATTTTCCAGGCCAACACTATGTACGTTGCTTTCTTTAATTAAAATTTCTTTTGCATTTTGGCAAAGTTCTCTTACCTCCCCTTCAGAAATTAGTTTGCAATTACAAAGTTTTTCTATTTGCTTTTATATGAACATATAAATTATTAAGAAGGAATAGAGTAAAAATCCAAAAATTAATTACCAAAAAAAAGATCGGAATCTTTTCTCACTTATTAATATTACTATGCCTTATCGTCATTTTTTGAAGATTCCCTAGGTATATTATGCACGTTATATAATTCTTTTCATAACAGGTTAATAAAATTATATACCTGCATGTGAAAATAATCTCCCTGTAATTATGTCATATATAGAATCAATTTTCCAATGTCATATCAATTGAAGTGTAAAACTAAGAGTATAATCATTAAATTAGATAATGTATACGCACTATGTAAAATATATACCATATACCATATAGCACTGCATACAGTACCTGTTCCCCAGGTTTTTTTTATAGTGTTTTTCATTTTTTTGCTATTTAATTTTTTGCCTATATTGATTAGTAGCCAGGATACTGTATGCAGCGTTATACAGTAAGATAAGTATCATTACCAATTTTTCTATCACTCAATTCTAATGACACATAGTAAGATATGCAACACATAGTTATCGATTCCATAGTCTTGATTCCTAAAAGTAAAATTTTAATAATTAAAATTCTAATTTTATATACATATTATGTGAGATATATATCTTTTAACTATTACATCTGTCAATTCTAATAATATATAATAAGATAGATATGTACCATGTAACTATCACTTCTGTTACCTCGATTCTGTAAAGTAAAACTAGGTTAATAATTAATGACCACAATTCTAATGCAATGTATACATATTATATAAGATATATACTATATAACTATCACTTACGTTATCTCGATTCTTGAAAGTAAAATTAGTTTAATAATTAAAGAACCTCAATTCTAATGTCAAACTACTAATAATATAGTTATTGAATTAGATAATGTATATGCACTATATAAGATATGTACCATATAACTATCATCACCAGTCCTTCCGTCACCTCGATTCTTGAAAGTAAATTTAGGTTAATATCAATTCTAATGTTACATACAGTGTGAGTCAAAATTATTTAGAAAATTGATGCGGCTGATCTGTACATAATTGACTAACCAAAGTTAAACAGGAATGTACCACCAAACTTTACAGATATAGAAATGGAAGTTCGGCGAACTTTCTCTTGGATTCCTGGTCCCTCAACTCTTCTCGCGCGACGTATAGTGAAGTTAAAATGACCGCCACCATCCTCTCTGACAAGCGAAAAATAATTTTATCTTTCTGGAACAGAGGTAAGCGCTCTGCAAAAGAAATACACACAGCAACTAAGATCCCTCTCCCAACTATCTATTACAACCTTCAGAAACTTCGTAAGACAGGAAATGTCGAGCAGTCAAAAGGGGCTGGTCGTCCGGGAGTGGTCACAAAGGAAATTTCACAAAAAATCTGACGATATATAGAAGAAAATTCTTTCATATCTACAAGGAGTTTGGTGGCAAAATTAGGCGAGGTAATCTCTCAATCAACCCTTGTGCGACATCTAAAATCCCTCGGCTACAAAAATGACGTTCCTAAAGCGGTACCAATGCTTACTCGCCTCCAAAGGAAGAAATGGTTATTGTGAGCCAAGAAACACTTGAAGGACTCTTGGGGCAAGACTTTTTTCACAGACGAGACCGCTTTTCAGCTCTTCCGCAACACCACTGGGCAGTGGTACAAGGGTTCGCGACCGGTTCGGAGGGTTCCTAAAAATAGGGAAAAAATTTTTGCGTGGGGAGAGTTTAGTAGGGCGGGTAAAACTGATCTATTCTGTTTCCGAGGCATAATGGACGCCGAATTTTACGTAAGTATCTTAAAGGAAAATATTGCGGACATCAAGGCCGTGATGGGGAAAAATCGGCGGTTCCAACAGGACAACGACCCAAAACACACGAGCCGTCTTGCGAAGTCATACCTTGAGTCGCATGTCCCTAAAGTCCTTGAATGGCCAGCTAATAGCCCGGATCTTAATCCGATAGAAAACATATGGGGTTTGGTAAAGAAAAACGTCGAAAAGAGAATGCCGCAGGATTTAGACGAATTAGAATCATTTATGAGGGAGGAATGGGACGCAATCCCAGAAAGTACATTAAAAAATGCAGTTAAATCTATGCAAAACAGATGTAAACTCGTAATAAAGAATAACGGCGATCACATTGACTATTAAAATTTTTTTAAAAATAAACTATGGGTTCTTACCTTTCAAATGAGTGGTTGTACGTCATGATTGGTTTAATGGTTGTGAAATTAAATGATAAAAACTTTTTCTAAAAAATTTTGACTCACACTGTATATATACCATGTAACTATCGCCTCTATCACTTCGACTTTTGAAAGTAAAATTAGCTTAATAATTAAAGACCATCATTAAATATAACATCTTAAAAATAAAAATTATAAACACCAATAATTAATAAAAAAAAAAAACCTAAAAGGACAAAGAACATGGGTCGGAAAAGAAGCAGACCTCAAATACCTTCACATATTCGCGAAGATGATCGATATAGGATCCTAAAACATGAAGAAACCCTTAATGACAAAAGAAAATGAATATCACGAAAGATCAATGCTACTAGAAGGTACTATGAAACTCTATCACCAGAGCTCAATCCCTTATTAATTCAAGACCAACCTATTCAAAGACATATCAGGACAATACATAATCTTGCTTGAAATGTAAATAGCCACTTTAACTCTCTATTATACGCGAAAAACACGTGATTAATGGCTGGCATATACTTCTACGAATGTCGATTTGTTGTAAATATTGTTTAGCCTTGCATTGGATATGAAAGTTCCCAAATAACTGCTGTCATGGTGAAAAGATTATTGTGGCACCACTGGGTAATGTATCTGAATCAATTATGAGATTGATTATATAAGACTCTCCTAAAACATTTATTTAATTTTGTATTTGCCTTCACATCAATGGGAGCATCAATTGACTGAGATCTTGCAAATTGAACAGAAGGGATATATACATATCAAGTTCAAGGTGCAATTTATTATCGAATTGGTTCATTGCTTCCTGGTAAAAATTGTCAACCAAAATTTGCTCAAATATATATTTATGATGGCAACTTTGAGACTGAATTGAATTACCGTCACAATATATTTCCTTTTTTAGATTGCATTCTTCTGGTAGATATTCAACGCAATCTCCATATGCATAACCCTTTTGCTCAAGTTTTTCATAATACTAGCTGGTTTATTTGTAAAGGTCAACCAATTGCACTTAAGATATTAAGTGGTCAAGGTTACAATATTCAACGTTATAACTGACCTACTGCTAACAAAGTTGCTGTCTTAATGATTAATAATGACAATGCTATTAGCAGGCATGACATTCTCCTTCAAAATATACAAGGTCAACTACAACAAATATCAGAATGCCATGCTGTATATGACCCACTTCAATATCTGTTGTTATTTTCATATGGCCAACTTGAATGGCATTTTAACATTCTTTATTCAACAAGTATTAACACTATCAAGAGCGATAAGCCTAAGAATAATGATAATTCTGGAGATAGATTCTCAGATAATGAACCCTTTGAATTTGATAAGTCAAGACCAACCAGATGAGTTTGAGTTATGATACGAGATTATGCAGCATATTGCTTACACATATGCAATCCTGTTGATGGTATACTTCAATATGCTAGGTATCTTTTTCACCAATATATTGTTAACCAGTATGCCAAGATTGAACAGAACTGACTTCTTTGGCAAAAGATGAATCAGTGCATAATTCATACTGAACTTTATCAAGGACTCGCTAACGTCATGGCAAGTGATTCCCAGAATCTTAACTATATAGGAACACAAATAATTCTACCTGTATCATTTGTCGGCAGTAATCGATACATAAGTCAATGCTATTAAGACATGATGGCTATTGTAAAGAAATATGGAAAGCTGAGCCTATTTATTACAATTACATGTAATTCACATTGGCTAGAGATTCTTGCTGAACTTTATGATAAACAGGTTTCAAACAATCGGCCCAATATTATTGTCTGCATTTTTAATCTTAAATTAAAGGCCATCTTAAATGATATCATAGACAAGAATATATTAAGAAAAGTCATAGTGTTTATGTTAGTTATTGAGTTTCAAAAATAAGGACTTTCACATGCACACTTACTAATAATACTTACCAATAAAGACAATTCACAAGAACTTTTTGATTATGATAATATTGTATCTGCTGAAATTCCCGACCCAATTCATTAATCACAGCTTTATGAAACTATTACTCGAAGTATGATACATGGACCTTGTAGTAGTCTAGCACCACAAGCTCTGTGCGTGCAAAATGAGATCTGTTTAAAAAATTATTCTCAATATTTTACTAATGTTATCAGAAACGATGCAAATGGATATCCACTATATAGACAATGGAATAATGGTCAATCTATTCAATTAAGAGATCATATTCTAGATAACAGATATGTCAATAAATTAATAAATTAAATTCCTCTTTACATAAAGGTGAATCGGTTAATAATCGATCAAACAGATGGATAATATCATACAATTCCTATCTATGTTAAAAATACGACTGCCATATAAATATAGAAATCTGTTCTACTATAGCATCAGTAAAATATTTATATAAATATATCTATAAAGGGCATGATCGGGCTTTAATTGTTATTCAAAGCAATAGTATCAAAAATGATAAGATCCAAGCATATCTTGATGCTTGATATGTTTTAGCCTCTGAAGCATGCTGGCGGATTTTCTCTTATGATCTTCAACAGCGATCACATAAAGTGAAAAGACTGCAAGTGTATCTATCGAATCAACAATTCGTTCTTTTTAATGTGGATTCAAATCTAGATCAAACCATTTCCACAGCCACAAATACAAAGCTCACAAGGTTCTTTAAAGTATGTAGGAGAGATCCAACAGCTGCAGGTCTTCTATATTCAGAATTTTCCAAGTTCTTCCACTAGATAAAAGAAAATTGGCAATATTGAAAAAGGAGTGGATACAAAGTGATTGGTAGGCTGTATTCTTGCTTCCCAAATGATTTGGAATGCTTTTGCTTATGTTTATTGTTATGTCACACCCATGGCCCAATATCATTCGAGATCCTATGCACAATTAATGAGATCATCTATCCAACATTTAAGCAAGCCATGCAGAAATTAGGGCTTTTAAATGATAACAAAGAATGCTTTAACTGTTTATCTGAAGCAAGTCTCTTTCAGATGCTCTCACAACTGCATCTTCTATTTGCAACAATATTAGTCTACTGTCAACCAACAAATATTAAAAGTCTTTGGAATACCTATCTATCAACCTTAACAGAAGACTTTGTATATATGACACAATGACTTAATGCGAATATTGCACCGGAGAATCCTGCAATTATAAGTTATGCTTAGTTGAGATCGAAAATCACATTTAGCAATGTGGAAAGTATCTTAAGAATTTTTCTGAGTTGCCTACTATACACTATAATTTATTGAACCATGATAGACAAACACAACTCTCCACAGAAGAGACAAATTTCTCACAGGATGAGTTGCAGCAAATTCTTGAAGATGTATCCAAACTTAACGATGAACAGCATGCTGTATATGATGCAGTAGTAATAGCTGCAGAACAGCCTAATCCTAGATTCTTTATTTTTTTTATTGATGGTCCCAATAGTACTGGAAAAATCTTCCTATATAATATTCTTTTAACTCACTTTCGCAATAAAAAACAGATTGCACTAGCCTTAGCTTCATTAGGAATTGTATCTTTATTACTTATAGGTGGTCAAACTGCACATTTACATTTAAAAATCTCTTTAAAGTTAGATAAAACCTCAATGTACCGGCTGTTGAAACAATCTGAGGATACCCATCTTTTATTAGAGTCAAAATTAATAATTTGGGATGAAGCTCCTATGACTCATAAATTCACGTTCAAGGCTGTTAATAGATTATTGCGTGACATTATAGGTATTGATGAGCTTTTTGATAAAAAACTTTTAGTACTAGGAGGAGATTTTCAACAAATTTTACCAGTTATTCTGCATGGAACACAAGGAGATATTATAAATACCAGTATCAAACGTTCTTATCTTTGGAATTCAGTTTTAACAATGACACTTACAAAAAACATGCGCCTTCAGCAAATATATGGTCTTGATGCTGCAGAGAATCGTGAATTTGCTGATTATCTTCTTCGGATTGGAGAAGGAAAAGAAATCACATACTCTAATATTAGCAAGGATTTTATTTGCTTGCCTAATGACATAATAATCGATGGTCACCTACAAGAACTAATTGGATACATATATGATGACCTTCAAACAAGATGGAATGATCACCAATACATCCTAGAACATGCAATTTTCATAACAAAAAATAAAGAAGTTAATGAAATTAATAATCACATTTTATCTATCTTTCCTGGTGAAGAAAGAACATACAACTTTGCAGATTCCATTGTGGATCCTAAGATTACTAACAATAATATTTACCCTTTTAAATTTCTTAATACACTTACTCAAATGAAATTCCTTCCCATAAGTTAATACCAAAGAAAGGCATACTGATTATATTATTCTGTAATATAAATACAAAGAGAGATCTATATAATGAAACACATCTAATTATTTGGGATTTTCAGCAACATGTCCTCGATGCAGAGATTTTAACAGGCTCATATATTGGGCAATGTGTTTTCATTCCATGTATAATTCTCAAACTATCAGATACAGAACTCTCATTTAAACTTCAACGACATCAATTTCCAATTAAACTATCTTTCATATTAACAATCAATAAGGCACAGGACCAGACGATTCCCAAACTTAAACTTTATCTTTCAAGCCCAGTATTTACTCATAGTCAATTATATGTTTCTATTTTACAGGTATGTTCTCACCGAAATATTAAGATCGTTACTGAAAATAGTCAATTAGGAGATAAAAAGACTCATTATACTTTTAATATAGTATTTCATGAGATTTTTATATAAATAACTTGTGCAATCATGGTGTAACATTAGTCATGCAATTATATATATATGTAATAGAACAAGACTTATCAGTTTGTGGGACATCTGAAGAGACCTACTCCATTGACACAGGAAATGCAAAACCTATCAAGCAACACGCATATAGAACATCACCAGATCAACAAGATTTCATCAGGAGCGAAATTGGTGAAATGCTAAAGTTTCACATATACCATTTTTGAGAAGATAGGACTTAACCAGATCTACAGAACCCGATCCACCACTTTGCGCCTAATCCATCGCCTGTCACACTCTGATTATGTCTCCTTAACACAAGATTAATTTGTGATCATTTTATCCATGTGATTATATATAATAGAATAGGGCATACATAAAAAATTTAATTAAATTATTGTTATACGTATATATTAAATTTTCAATTTAATTTACTATTAAATTCTTATGCCTGAAGCGTAGCGAGGGTTACCTACTAGTATTCAATATAGTCATTTTATTTATTTATGTCATAAATCGATTTTAATAATCATATTATTTGTTAATTTATGTAACTATTTTTTTTGCATGTAACAATAATTGTGATACCATAATTTTATAATTTGTAACATATAATAATAATAATTGTCAGTATAATTTTATACTTAGATTTATTTTAGAAAAAATATATTTTTGATTAAAAATAATTTGATTAAAAATGTGTTGGCTATATGAATATTGTGGTCAAGAGTTCTCCAAATTTTATGCTTTAACTTAACACATTTTATTAAAGCATCCATTAATCAAGAATTAATAGATCAAGTAATATTTGAGGAGACAGATGATAATATATGGAACTTATCTACTTATGACTCTAGTGAAGATTTAACTACAAATATTGACACTGATAATTTTTTAATGTATAGGATAAATATTGTTAAAATTTTAAATATCTAAATCAATAATAATCAATTTTTATTATTAGAATAAAAATTTATTCACATTTTCTAAACTTGAATTGATAAACAGTATTAAATAATATGATAGTAATAAAGTTAAAAAATATTAATAAATAATTTTAATTCTTTATTAGAGAAAAAATATGTCAATATTACTTTGTATTGAAGATTCTTTTATAGATACAGAATCAATAGAAAATAATTTATTTCAGATTAAATCTGATGAAAGTGATTCTAAAGACTATAAAAGCACTTTATTTGATAATGCTTTTAATAACTTACAACATCCTGAAATAATTAAATGGCCTAACAATACTTATCGAGATTTTATAAAATTAATTAATCAATACCAACTATCTAATGTAGCTGGTAATACTATAATAAGTTTCTTTAATAAATATTTCAACTTAAACATATCACCATTGCCATTATCAACAAAGATTGAAAAAGAGTTTTTAAATATTTCAGCTATTTCTTATATGGAGTTTAAAGAAATTTCTATAATAAAATTTGAAAATATTAAATATAAACTTTATTATTGATTGATAATTAAAACTATAAGGTTCTTATTAATGATTGATAGTATTAATAAGTCTTTAATACTTAAATATGAAAAAAAAATTGCAATAAAAAATGGAATCAAATATCAAGTTTTTGAAAAACAATTTA